CTGCAGTTGCATTGTTGAACCACTTGGTGGCTGATCATCCAAGACCTGGTTGGTGATATTTGATGGAAGTGCGAATGTGAAGGTCAACCCGACCAAAGCTATGACAACCACACAAGTAAATCCCTGTAAAAGGAGTATGTCTTCAAGAATGAGTGGGAAACTAGCAGAATGACTTCAAATGAATTTGAAGAAGCTGTTCAACAGGGAAAAGAGGGATATCAAGGTGGAATTGCAATTATGAATTTCTATTAATCTCTTTCGCTTGAGGGAAGTAATGCGCTATTCAATATTGACTTCCAGTTTATTATTGGAGCTGCGATTGCTTAGGTGAACTCGATAGGAGTTACTCTCAACTGCTTATCATTCTAATCGAACCGCGCCGTACGCTTTCACTATTACTAAGAGAAATTGTTCTTTCTTTCTTCCAGGCAGTGATGTTGTATGCTCGAACTTGGCAACTAGTTTTCAGAGTTTAGTAAATTATAGTGACTTTTTCAAGGTCCACTTGTATGATTATTACTAGTAGTTTGCTCAGTTGCGATTGCTCTTCGACCAAACTGTCGATCCTGTTCAGTCTTAGAAATGATGTTTGCTTTATGTCCTTTTTAATTTATGTATTAACCGTGATGGAGGTGAAAGCTGAATAAACTTAGTCATCTGGTGCAACAAAGTAACTGAAAAGATTGTGATTGTGCCCTTAAGACAAGGGGCTGGTTAGGGATCATGGCAATTACATTTTTTAATTTTTTCCCATTTGTTGGAACAACTTCCTGCTCCTCACCGCAACCCCAGCCCCACCATCGATTTATTCATGTAAATTCGATCGAAAAGCTTCCTCCCTTTGGGGTATGTTGCCATTGCGTTAACGTCCATATCTCCCTCATCTGCTGGGTTAAGACGTTTTCCAGTTGGCCGATTATCTTATGATGTACTTTGGTGGATACGTCTGTGTACTATCTCTTTTTGGTTTCGTTAAAAAGTAGTGGATGACTTTGACTGTCCACAGTGTTAATTTCCCCTCCCCCGTTTATCTACGCCTTTCAACAAAGGTCTGAATTGCATCGTGGCTTCGATAATGATAAAAAGCAATGATGGCACCTAACTATCCCCCCCCCCCGACAATCTGAAGCATGAATATGCAATTGGGTAATTTCTGACCTTTTCAATCCTCATATGGATTTGAGATTATGTCCAAGAGGAGTACGTCCTTCACCTACTATTGCATAAAATATTATCTCTTCATTTAAAGTTTTGTTTGTTGACCTCTTAGAGTTATACTATTGACTTCTACCTGTGCTTATTTAGCAGGATGTACTCTTTCTTTCCAATCAATAAAATGCACCAAGTTTTGCTTAAAGATACCCAAAGTTTGCGTAATAAATGATCTTAGTTTTTTTAAATAAATCTTCCTTTTAAAAATATTCACACAAAATTCTTCTGAAATATGCTTGTTCTGGGCACGCAGTTTCCTTTCTATGTACTTTATATTTGGTAGAATGGTTTGCGCCAGTTTCTTAGTTCCACCTAGCCTTTTCATTAAAGGTGGCCTAATTAGTGTTAATAAAACATTGTCCATTGAAATATCTCCCAAAAATCATTTATGGCTCCTACCTAGCGCCTTCGATTATATTCCCCTCACTTGCAGCGAACGCCATGAAATTCCAAAGTAAGATACATTTGTCGTACTAACCACAACTCTTTGTTGTCTGTACGTCACTACTGTGGTGCCATACCTTCTTTGTAGTTATCCTTATTGCTCTGTTGTTCTGCTATCACCCAATCTAGAGGTTGCTATTTGTTCAGTGTTGTTGCATTAGGATTTGCACGTCTACTTCGAGGTGGGAGATGAGTGTACTTCCAAAATCGGTTCCATGTGGTGTAGTTTGATGACCTGCATGTCCACTTCCGCTAATCCTATGACTCTTCTTTGTGCAAGGATTGGAGGTACAGATCGCTTCCATTTAGGTGATACTTGAGAGGAATTGTGCCAACAACATGACAAGTTTAAGAAACATGTAACATGAGCTTAGGACGTACTTTGAGTCACAGCAACCAGTGATCGCTGAAAAGACAAAGAATCGCAGTTGTTTCTCTTTCGGCGTCTAGAGCATGATACGTCCAATTCAAATTCATTTTAGGTTCATCTATTATCCATTGCCTATTTGTCTGAGCTGAATTTGGTGATGTTTGTTGTGTCCGATCTCCTATTTTCTCTGGTGACTTGTAATATTAATGTTAAAGGTTTATCATTCTCACATATCTATCGTTAGGTTTATCATCAATAGGTTGCTGATACTGAAGTGGGCATAAATCTTCACTAACATTGATTTCGCTGATATGTGGAAAATATGACTAAATTGTAGCATAATAAAGGTGTTTGTTAAGGCCCTTAGACAAGCGTTAATTCACGAACTAGTGGAATAGAATGCATTTCTTTATTGAATTTGTAACTATGTACTTGTTTTCTTTACTACCTTCCTCATCGTGACCTGTGGACTCTAATCTTATTCTCCATATTTTTTTCATATGGAATAAAAAAATGCGAAGCCGGACTTATTTGCATACTCTTTCTTGTATTGTATGAGTACTTGCAGTCGTGGCATTGTTACCAATTTCCCTTAACATTCTGCACTTTGCGGATTTGTTGAAAAGGCATTGTTTTGAGTAGGGAACAACCCAGTGAACACAGTGTGACTTACTGGGAAGTAAGAGTGTGTAAGGCTTTGAGAGAAAACATTTTTACTAGTCAACATCTGGGTGTCACTTTCAAGAGCCTAGGTGGGCAAAGAGGAAATAAAGTGCCAATTGGCGAGGCAATTTATGTCCAAATCTGCCTATCACAAATAAGCATATTATCCCCTTGCCAGACTCTGCAGCCTTAAGTGTGGCAGGCATGAGAAGAATTTGGTTTGACAATTTATGACAACTAAACTCTTAGGCTGGAAATAATTGCACTGTGCGATCTTATTATTTGCGCATAAAGTCAAATAACTCTACCTATACTGTGTTTAACGTTTTTAACCTCAAGGTCAAAGTGAGTCGTTCTTCGGTTGTATTTGACTTTCAATCAATTTCGGTAGTTAGTTTCTGTTGTCATAAAATTATACTTTTACTTTAAAGTTGAAAATACTTTCACAAAATTGCATTTTAGCGTGGAAATGAGTGGAAATATTGCCTCAGCTAGTGAACATTACACCCAAATTTATTACACTTTTTCTCCGATAGCTGCTCATACTATTCCTTCATAAATAAATCACGTAATTGTCTTATAGATACTCTTCTTCCATTAAAATCCAGGTATAAATAACCTTTCTTATCCATCCATCTTGTCTATTCTAATGACAAATTTTCTGTTTACTACTTGCATCCTATTAGTAATCTTAAGGCTTCTGATCTGGTTCCTTTTGTTCTCTCTCTCTCTCTCTGTTGTTTCTACAAGATATTGCACAAAATCCCCTTATTTCTGCTTGTGACATTTCATTGTCTTCAGTGCCTTCCCATTACCCATTCACCAGAATGTTGCTCATGACTCACCTTATCCATGTCACACTGCACAAAATTGAAAACTTGCTATCTTTGTTAATTTTTCCCTTAATTTTTTTTGTAGAACTCGCGGTATCCGGATGTTCCGTCATCAGCCCTTTGTGCCCGTTCCTAGGGAAGAAGTGTCCATCATCGGACTGCCGGCAGACCGTAAGTCACCTCTTTCGGTTTTGGTATTGTCGCCGCATTGGGCGATCTATTCGTGGTGCTTGAAACATGTTTTCCCTATTTCACGTCACCTAGTTTTTCTGTCCGCATGTCAAGCAATACTCTTGACTAGTGAAAAGTCAGCAGATCTTGACTAGATTGGATCTCAATGTGTTCTAACAGCCTCGGATTAGTACATTTGGTGAGAAGGGAAGCTATTTATACTTGAGTCGCTGTGTGCGAATACTACAACACTTTAAAATTTTCAATTCCTCATCTTGCCACTTTCTTTGTTATGTATCATGATTCAAACTAAAAATGGAGGGGGG